CCTATCCTAAACTTATAGCCAAACTAACTACAACTTACAACTTACAATAAAATGCTAGAAATAAGATTACAATCAAATGCAAACTAACAGCTATAAACTTGCACAAAATTAGTAAATAAACATTACAAACAATAATAAAAATGTATACTTAGGCACTAACAACTAGTGCCTATCAAACACCCCCACACTTGAACTTTTACTCGTCTCGAGGAAAACAAATCATGTCCATGAAGTTTCCAAACCAACAATTGTAGCAATTACAACCATTCACAAGTGTTTTTGAAAATCAACATAAAAGAATGTTTCAATGATCAAAACACATGAATAAAAGGTCTTCACCATCATTGGGTGTCTCTTCTTTTGCTCCTTATGTGTACCCTTAGGATCCTGCAAATACAAAAGAAATACTTTCTCTCATTCTCTCATTTTGCCTAGGTGCCCTTTCGGGTTTTCATCCCAGCTTCCCACATTTTCCTTTTTAATTCTCCCCAACTCACTCTTCTTTTTTGCTTTTATTTTGCTTAAGTTGCCCTTTTTGGGTTTTCAACCTAACAAGCTTAATTTTTTGTTTTTTTTTTGTTTTTATATAGCAAGAATAAAGAGTATGAAATGGGAGCATACCAGAATAATTCTCCCCCCCCCCCCCAGCTAGTTAATGGCACTGCCCCTAGTGCCCGCCCGCATCTCCTCCATCAAAAAAGGCCCAAGATATCCGGCCCAAGCAACGGGCCCATCACGCTATGATAAGATAATCAAGATAGAATTAATGCCGAACGAGATTCGGCCCAAATAAGGGTTGGCCCAGTAAGAAGACATACCGAACGGAGTTCGGACTATATATTATACTTGGGCCAATTTGACAGCATCTTCAGCATAGTCCAACATGCCGTTCGAGCAACGGCCAACCGGCAAGTGGCCAGGTGCAATTAATGCCAGATTGTGACATCAGCAAGTGGAAACATGGGTGACCAAGTCAGTGGAACAACGGCCAATCAGCATAGGGCAGCCCATGCTCTCCATTAGTATAAATAGAAGGTTTTAAGTCATTGTAAGGGTTAACATTTCAATACTCAGGCCCTAGAATAACATCATTGCTCTTATTTCTTGTATTAAAGTATTGTTTCCGACCTACCGATCGGGAAATTCCTTGTAATCAGACTGGTTAATTAATACAAGTGGGCTTTCGAGTATTAGTGAGTTCATCTTTTATATTTTGTTTATACACCTTGATTCTGTGCCATTCCTGATATATCCAAAGTTCGTGTTGGGATTTCGGATCTACGGGATTTACCTTCAACAATAACTTTATTTATAACAAAAATGTAAAAAAATAAAAACACGAAATAAATATTAAGTAAAATTATTACTAATAAAAAAATCAAAAAATTAAAAATTTAATATATATATATATATATATATATATATATATATATATATATATATATATATATATATATATATATATTGTTGCATGGCGGTAAGAAATAATTACTCATCTCACTGTTCTATGATTTCTATCCATGTAAGTGTTAACTACGGCAATAAATATTCAGCATGAAAATAATTAATGGAATATGGAAAATCGTACGCAGAAAATATTCTTCAATGAAAATATTAAGGAAAATCGTGCGTAGAAAATCTGAGCCCAACAATAGCGTTGTCTCCTTAAGATGATTTTGCCTGACTAGCGCAGCAAATGTCTCCCAGGATAGAACAGATTCGTTCCCGACGACGGGACTCCGGCGAACTCAAAGATGCAATGAATTGTTTGAAGAGTAACGGTGAAGGAGATAGAGATTTTGGACTGCCAATTTCGGATATCTCTTGTGCAGAATTCATTGGGTATTTATAGAGTTTTTGGCCAGAAAACTCTCACCCAAAAGGCCTCTGGATCAATATCCCAACAGTTATGTTATTACTTATATACGTTACTTATTAATGAAATATGAGTTATATTACGATAAAGCAAGGGTAGAATGGGAAAGCTAATCTTATTTAGAGAATTTTTAAGTAATGGTTCTATTTTGACCTAGTCCGAGATGAGGAATTCTCCCTTTCATTTTTCTCTGAACAACCATTCATTATACAATATAATTAGATGACTAAGTCACCCTTGTACGTACATAAATAAAAGAATAATACTCCGTTTGTTAATGCTTTTTTCCTATTTAACAATCATTTTAACATGTTCATACACTCATTACTCATACTTCCTCAAATCATATTGATCGTCTATCTCGATCTTTTTTGCACATGCATATCAAAGGAATAGTATTATTTCTGCTTCCAATTACCTGACCTAATAGGTCCTTTTTATGGAAAATCTTATTAGATAAATTTTATTTTGTTACAAATTTTATATTTTAGTAATATTGGTTTCAAAATCCAATAAGATAATGAACCTGATCTTTCATATGTGTAATTGTTCGTTGGGAAAAATACGACCCGAACTCTTCCGAAATCACGAGCACAGTATATAGGACTCTTGTACACTTACTCACACATTGGTATTACAAAGATTCACTCCGCCAATACCATTTTGTATTATACAACCCAAATATACACGAGATGTTTTACAAGTAAACATGTAGCTCATTTTACTCTTTATATATGGAGCTATTTCACTCTACCTTACTCACACATTTATGAGAGGCCTTCTAGGATTGTTTCCTAGCACCCTTAAGGATGCTTTTCACTCACACTCATCAAGAAATATTTTTTAGTTCTCTTCTCTTACAAGAAGGCCAGACTCTCCTTCTTCTTTCTCAAGGAGACTCTCAATCTCACACTCCTAATAGCTCTCCTCAAGGCTGCCATTTGAATGAGGTGTCTCACCCTTATACTTCTAGAGCCTTCCATGAATTATCTGCAAGATTCTCTAATGTACTGGAAGGATATAGAGAACTTTGTATCTCTTCAAAATGTTCCTAAGATTTCAATCCATTTCCATACGATTCTAGAGAAGGAGAATTATGTATTTCTCTAGAAAATTCTACAATCTTCTAGAATAATATACATTCTTCCACACGCTTCTATATAATTCTACGTTTTTCTAGAAAGTTCTGGAATATTTTAAAATATTTGATACTTCTTCACACGCATAAAACAATTTTAGTCATCTCTAATATTATAGAATTCTCATAAAGTTTTCATTTAAGAAGAGAATCCAACATTGTTACAAGTTCAAAGATCAATGACTGATTCATTACTATTTATGTAAGTTAATTTATTTCTTTGAAGTACTTGAGAGGGAAAAGATAATTCGTTCCTTGTAAGTTAATTTACATATAGCATGCCTAGTTTTATTAGAAGTTGCTAGTATTATTTACAAATTCCATATCAATCACACAAGATTCCTTTTATAATTATTAATTAATTATTTTCAAACCCCGACTAGCTTTTCCACTTTTTTTGAATGTAGCTTTTCAACTTAAAAAACACACAATAAAAAGGAAATGTCAAAAGAAGGGAAAATTAATGAAATAAAAATTGTGAATAAGCTAGGCTCCATTTTTCTCATCTCTATTTATTAGCTCTCAAGAAATTAATTAAGCTTCTGTATTAAAATCCGTATTAGCTCTTGACCCCCGCATTTCCTAACTCGCACTTTGAGGCTAAGCTAAGGTGGGCTTTCTGTATCCGTTTATGCATAAATTGCATATATATCGCCTATGTTGTATAGCATCAAAAAGCTTTTGGCTTGGTAAGTAGTACTCGTAGTATGATTATAGTACATTAATTACCGTCTTCCCTTTTCCACAGTCCCAAAGAAAATTCTCTAAATAGGAATAAAACATATGAATATCTTGAAACATTTTGTTTGGCATTATTTTGTGATTTAGTACCCTCATATAGTTTTGGGTGATTTGCAATTTTGGTCATGTAATTTTCGACTGTATCGGTTACTAGTTCTGTTATTTAAAATTTGGTATTGTAACTAATGAATATGTGCAATTTAAGAACATTTCCATCCAAAACTTGAGAAGTACACTTTTCGGGGGGAAATATTCGTATAAGAGCTGAAGCGTCGAATTTTCTGTCGAAAACTACATCTTCCGGAGTTCCGGTGGAAAAGTCCTTAATTGCAAACTTATTTATTACAAGATCGAATCTACAAGCGAGTAAAGTTACCATACTAATGACGAATCCACGAGAGTTAGGTGACTAGCTAGACCGAAGGATCATTGACTTATCGACTTGATTCCAAGCCATATAATCTCCTGCATGCGGTTTCATCTTTCCTTTAAACTGGATTAAACTGAATTCTCTCATTGTGAAATACGCAGTATGGAGTATATTACATTGAAATACATCAGAGTGAAAACTTTATTCAAAATTTTCTTTTTTATATCATGCCTTAAAAAATTTGTAAAAAAGAAACCATTGGGGCTTAAATTGGTAAAAAAGATTAATTGGAGCCACATTTCAGTTTTAGTAATTTTAGTTGATTTTTAAAAACCATTTCACGTTTATACATATTAATTAGAAAAAGGTGACAACTCCGGTACCCATCTAAAAAATGGGGTACAGTACCTACTACTCACTTGATTGATCAAAATCATTGTATCATTTTGAATTTAAATTTAAATAATTCAACTACTACATTCTCATCGGTTCATGTGGACAAAGGTATAGTACCTTAAGGATACCATAGAATGTACCTCTCTATTATAGTATTTTGATTTTGTTGTGACTTTTTAAACTCTAAACTAATTTAAAAGTGAGTATATAATTGTATTCCAGTTTTGGCTTGTTTAAATTATTTCAATATAATTATAATAATTCATCTGTCTTTTAAATCTTTGTCATCTTTTATTTTTGGAAAGATAATGGAGTAGATTATGTGATGACTAATGATTCATAATATAATACTACCTCCGTCTCGCTATGATTGTCCCACTTTACCTTATCGTTCCGTCCCACTAAGATTCTCTCATACCAAATTTGGTAAAGTTTGTGTGATTCTAAATCATTCTTACTTTATCAATTCAATATCAACCCCATAAACCAGTTTTTATTGATTTGTGTGTCACTTCCTCTTGTCCCATTGTTAGCGGGACAGAGGGAGTAATGCATTCGTAGACATACGTTTAATCACTCTTATTTGCACAATGCCTTTTGATGAATTAGGGCCGGGAATCTAGGTAGGACAGCTGATTATATTCTTGGAATGAAGATCAAGCAAAGGATGTGTTGTCTTCCTCTGCTATTATTATTACTGGTAATTATCCAAGACCAAGTAGTGGCCACAACATCAGATCTTGGAACTGACAAACGAGCCCTTCTAGACTTTGCTTCTAGTTTTGGTGAGCGCCACCATGGCCACGGCCGCCGGCGGGAACTGCGGTGGAGCACGAAGGTCCCTATGTGCAGGGGATGGGTTGGTGTGAAATGCAGCTGGTCACCTGCAGATGGCTGCAGAGTGGTTGAACTGGAGCTTCCTGGCTTCGGGCTCCACGGGCCCATACCGGGAAAGGCAATGGCAAGACTGGACGCCCTCCAAACGCTGCGCCTCGAGAATAACTCCCTGACCGGACCCATCCCGCCCGCCCTCCCCAAAACCCTTACCCGCTTGAACCTAAGCGACAACCATCTCAGCGGCTCCATTCCTTCACCCCTCCTCCTACGCTTTCCTCCTTCCTCATTCGCAGAGAATCCTTTGCTGCGGCGGAACCATCACCATCGAATCATCAAGTACAAACAGCAGCCACCACTACGCCCCCGCCGCCGCCACCGCATATCTTCATCTCGAACTACTCTACGCAATCTTGCTATTACTAAACTTGTTATTGCATGCGTTGGACTGCTCATTTCCTTAACGCTTCTATGCATCGGGTTAATTGTGTGCTGCCATGGGAAATGCAATATTTTAGCCGCGCACATCGGTGAGTGGTGCATGTGTTGGAGGAGGTCTAAAGCTAGAAAGACGGGGGCCGCCCCCGCCCCTGTCAACTAAAACTTTAAACGTGTACAAGATTTTAATGTGAACCGGCCATGTATATTCGTAAATAAAAGTTTAAACAATCAAATTCATATTATGGTCATCTTAAAAACATGTGATTAACATTTTATTTATTAATACAAAAGTTAAATGTTTAATATAAATGATTTATTCTACACAAAATCGGGCACCACTTGCTTATGTCTCGATGTTAGTGGTACACAAGTAGTAATTTTTGTGTAGGTGTAACAGTGCTTGTTAATACAAAACATATACTCCCTCCGTCCCAGCAAAGAAGTTCCTAATTTGACGTACACACATATTTATGTAAGGTAGAATTTTATTTTGACTTTTCAAGTATACCCTTACTTTATGTCAAATCAAACAAAAAGTGGGTAAAAAGTAAGTGTAGTTGTGACTTTTTGGTTAAACGTGGTTTCTTTTTATAGAAATGAGAACTTCTTTCTGGGACATCTATAAAAGGACAGTGATAACTTCTTTGCGGGACGGAGGTAGTAGATAGTATTTCGTATATAATATTGGTGCAAAAAAATCATTTTCAAAATATATTGAAGTACAAAGTACAAAGTACGGTACACAATGTGTGGACAGTATGCAAGTATGATACTCCCTCCGTCCCATAATTAACTTCAGTTTTGACTTGGCACGGGGATTAAGATAGTGGGATTTGTGTGGTGGAGAGTTGTGCAGAGGAGAGAGAAATGTGTAAGAATGATTGTGAACCACATATTCTTTATCAAAAAAGGAAAGAGGAGATAAATTTGGGACGGACCGAAAAAGAAAGAATGAAGATAATTTCGGGACGGAGGGAGTATACTTTTGGTAAAGGTGTATTATTCCATTTGAAATATTCTGTCAGTCCACAAGGGGTCCTTGAGCCTTTACTTCTGTCCAGTCCATGAAAGGATGGTTCAGCCCTTTCGCTTGGTGTTAGGAGGGGCTTCAAGTGATTCTGATCGCCTTCAGTGGAACTGGGCCGGACCACTACACGGTCAGCCAATATCCCGAGTTTTCTCCTGGGAAATTATATTCACAATCACTCATTTACTAAATAAAACCACATATTATCTCTAATAAGTAAAAGGGTGGTGCTTCGCGCACCCCCACAATTGCTTTAAGTAACCATGGCTGGACAAATTTGACCTTCTTAATTATTAATCAAAATTAATTACAATTAAAATGTTAGTTAAAGTTGCTTGGCGCACCTACACGCTAGCTCCATTCAGGGGATTGCCCATATCAGTTCTACCTTCACTATACATCCAAATATTGTCATGTAGCAAGTAATTCCTTTTTTTTTATAAAATGTCATAACTTTTTCATTCCTGCTATAATTTTTATAAAAATTATATCAAATTAAACATCTTTTTAAAATCTTTCATATGACACCAATATTATATATATAAATTTTATAAAAAAGATATGGTCAAGTCTCGTGAATGGTTGATTAAAACATATATATTTGTTTTAATCATATATGATCCTATTTGTTTGATTAAAACATCCGAAATAATTCATTCACATCATAAATCTAGTCATGTAACATATTTGAGCGTAATGTGGAATCAACACCTTTGAAATTAGTCAACCAAATAAAAAATGAAAATAATTCATTTACTAGAATTAAAAATGTTACGAAAAATAAAAAATACTAATTTTTAGATAATTTTCAGATTCATCATCCATTATATAAGAAGATTGTTAGAAATTTATGAGCGCATTCATAATGGGTTCCATATATTTATATAGCAGTTGTTTGATAGTAGTTAGGAGGTTTAATCCTGATTATATTAGGAATTTGAGTATATTTCAAAGATAGTTAAGTTATTTTTTAAAACATGTTACACAAAATTTAGGAAATATTAAAATTTACGGAAGATGCTAGGCAACCCATTAAAAAAGTCAATACGGATGTAAGATGCTTAAATTATCCCTTAAAAAAGATGCTTCCTAAAACTATGCTTTCTATTTACGGAAAAGCACTTGGAGGGTGCGGCTAGCAAGCTAACTACGACTGCCGTACATGATCAAGGATATAGATTGATGGAGTATATGGCCCAGGAATTCCCAGCTCATAGACTCTCACTACTGTAGCAGAGGCCTAATAGGCCCAGGAAGCACAGCAGACCCAAATCACAGCACCCCAAGTGCCAAGCAGCCCACAACGAACACTGGGGTGCCTTCGCCCCCCTGGCCGAAGGCTCATTAACTTACAATACAGCTTCTTTAAAGCCCTCAAAGTGTCTGGGAGAAAGCGGCAAAAACAGTAGCCCTCGGCACCTAGAGGCCCCCGGTATGAAGAGCCTTCGGCCAATCATCTACGGCCGAACGCATCTCCTCGACAGAATCTCCCACCCACATGTGCCGGATCAACGTACCGAGTACAAACGTCACATCCAACCACCGCAAATAATGCGGCCACATGCGAGTGCCAGTGCCACCCCGTTGAGGTGACCCCTCGACCACCAGAATGATGACACGTGTCCCTATCTGACATTTATTACTACTATAAATAGCACCACTTTCCCCATTTGTAATTCATGTTCAATACGCTCAACACATTCTCAGCAATATATATTCTCTCTCTTACTTTTGCTCTGACTTCTCTCTAGTGACTCCCCGCAGTAACCCCTCGAATAGATACCCCCCGGGTGTACTTATCCATCATTCGGTGCTCTCGTTGAGAGCTGAACAATCAAGTGAGAAAACCTCCCCTTCATCTAAAAAACACCTACTAAAACGGGAAGAACCACCCGTGCTCGGTCCAAGAACCTTGAGGACAACAACCGCCCCCCTTCATAAACCCTACCCCTCGGGTGGGGAACGACGAAGGGGTCGTGGCTCAGGACACTGCTTCCCAGGAGGTCCAATCTCGGGACCAACATGGTGCGAATAAAGAAAGGCCTCGGACCTCAGCCCTCGAGAGGCTAGGAGGGGCGCAGGACCGCCGAGGGGTCCAAGACCGCCTCGGTGGAAAGGCGTCCCAAAGACCCCAAGAGAGCGGGGGATCCGTCTCAAGGGCAGACGAGAGGCGTCCCCATCAGGACAAAGGCAAGGCACTACTTCATGCCGATGACGCGAGGCACCAAATCAATCAGGCCCACTCGGACCGTGCTCGTTCGCAAGGACGAAATCATTGCGTCCCTCCAGCACCGGCTTAATGAGATGGAGGCTCATCAAGCGCATACCGCCGTCGCCACCCCTCATGCAGATCCGAAATATGAAGCCATGCTGGCCAAAATGGAGGAAATGCAGAAGAAAATAGCCGAAGGCTCCTGGGAACCCGTCATCCAACTCCGGACTAGGACGCCATTTACCCACGGGGTATTGGCGGCCCGAATTCCGGAAAAATACCGGGGGCAGCCCATCAGGCCCTATGAGGGAAGGACGGACCCTCAAGAACATTACAGCCGCTACCAACACAGCATAATGATGGTGGGGGCATCAGATGAATATTTGTGCCGTTGGTTCCTCTCCACCTTGGAGGGACCAACGTACGAATGGTTCAACCGACTGCCCAAAGGCTGCATCGATTCATGGCAAGAACTCGCCCAACGCTTCTTGACGCAATTTGCAGGAAGGCGCCGGTCAAGAAAACATTTCTCCCACTTGCTGAAAGTGAGACAAAGGAAGGAGAAGACCCTTCGGGGCTTCTTGGAACGTTGGAGGACGGAGGCTGATAAAGTTGATGGCGCTCACGATGGGACCCTCCTGGCCCCCCTTCAAACAGTCCTTCGCCCAGGGAACTTTTCAAGAAGTCTCATCATCGAACCTCCCCACGATTACATAAGGGCCCTACAGCGGGGGGACCGGTACGTCGAGGCCGAGGAGGTGGAGAAGTGCCATCACAACCCGGATCAGCAACGCCCTCGGCCAGATGACAAGGGTAACCGGAGGTCGGGGGCTCCCCATAATCAATCCAAGGTTTCGGCGCCCCCCAGCGATCGCCCCCGGCATGGCCAAGCCAAGCCCGGGGAAGGTTACAAGGGAAACCCAAAGGCTTGGGCCCAACCCATTCTATTGGAGCACCATCGAACTCCCTTGACGCACCCCGTCAGTGTCATCCTAGACTTCGCCGAGGAGAGGGGCCTTGTGGAGCGCGACTCTCGTGCACCCCTGGAGGTATACACCGTCAACCCCAATTATCCTTATTGTCGGTTCCACCGCAACCAAGGGCACAACACCGACGACTGCCATCAGCTGAAAACGACCATTGAAAGGTTGATACAGGCAGACCACCTGTCCCAATTCATCAGGGGCCCTCCGCCTTGGGGGACCCCTCACTACCACCCCCCCCCCAAGAAAGCAAACGCTTGGGTCAACCCAAACACCATCCCCCTCGGAGACCCGAAGGGTAAGAAAAGGGAGATCGGAAAGCTTAATGAGGAGGAGGAGTACAACCAGTACCAGGAGAAAAAGCGCCACATCCATATGATCACCGGAGGCAACACAGGAGGGGACTCCACCAGCCAGCGGAAGAAGTGGGCTCAATCGCTATACGTGGGGGAAGTCACTCATATGCCCCCGGTAAAGCGACTAAGGGAAGAACCCATCACCTTCACCAATGGCGATCTCCCCCCGGCTTCCTCTCTGCACAGGGATGCCCTCGTCATCCGTACGGAGATCAATGAAACCATCATCCACCGAACTTACGTTGACACAGGCAGCTCCGTCAATGTAATGTACCTCACCACATTCAGAGAGCTGCATCAGGAGAGGGGGTCCCTTCGGCTCATCAAGACCCCTCTCACCGGCTTCACCGGAGATACCATTGATTCCAAGGGGGTCATTAACCTCCCGGTACTAGTCGGCGACGGGCTCCATAGAGCCAAGCTCGAAGTGGAGTTCGTCGTCGTTAACATCGACTGCGCCCACAACATCATCCTCGGCAGACCAGCCCTCAAGGACCTCGAAGCCATCATCTTCATGAGGCATCTGTGCCTCAAGTTCCCCGCCAAAGGAGGCATCGCGTACTCAAGGGGGAATCAAAAACTTGCCCGCGCTTGCCACCTTCAGGTAACGAAGAAAGTT